TCCAATATGCGTTTTTGCTGCCTGTTGCAGCGCTCTAGCGCTGCACGGCAAAAACGCATAATAATGGGGAAGGTGAACGAATCGGTCTTACAATAAAGCGAAGAAAAAATACGAGCGTTGCTATCTATAGAAAGGGTCAGGTCTAAGTAATTGAGAGCGGTACCAGAACCAGTACTAAGTCCTGGCCATATATATCTAGACGAAGGGAAAGAAACTCCGGGCAGTTGACGACTAAAATATCATCAACATAACGGCGAAGAAGAAGAGGGGGACTGGTGTGAAGTTTACCGTATTTAAACTCAAGGACTGATAACGTAAGGTCAGCAATGTCGGAGCTAGCATTGCCGCCCATGGGAACGCCTTTAACTTAACGGAAGATGTGGCCGGCAAAGCGCACATAGGACTCATGTGCAACGTATCGAAGGATACCGTCAATTTCAGATCGTGAATAAGCAGTTCCGGATGAAGGAGGACTGAGACTGAGGTACTCACAGTAAAAAATCCTATTAGGAAATGAGAAGGGCATCAGACTGAGCACTGTGAAAGCAGAGGGTAAAGAGATAATTAAGCGCGTCGAAGATGACGTGATGAAGGAGTTTTGTGAATAGGGTGGAAAAATCTGCTGTTTGTAAGTGACTGACGGGTCCGCATTCACTGATAAAGGATAGTACCTCACTAGAGTTGCGTACGCTATGAAAGAGGCACTTGCGTAATCTACTCTGCAAAGCAGCTGCGTAGTTCCGAAGGTGGCTGTGAAAGAACTGAAGGATGCGGTGTAAAATTATACTCAAGGGCTTGATGCTGGAATGCGTGGCGGAAGCGATGAAACGAAAGCTATAAGGATTTTTATGAAACTTAGGAGTAGCATAAATTAGAGGGAGAACTTTATTTCCTTTGTCTAGAATGAGGTGGAAAGCGCGAAGTTGTTTTTCATGGCTAGCGACAATCTGGGGTGTACTGCTGTGAATTGGAATGTAAGTGTCATTACCCCGAACCTCACCATTGTCGTGTATACCAAGTTCCCGGCGTAAGACGTTTACGTAGAATGATTTGCAGATGAAAACGCAGTTATTTGGCGCCTTATCCACTGGTGTAATAACAAGGCGGTGACGTTGGTAGGAAGAACGACTAAGGAGAGCGGAGGGAGTAATGTAGTCGATAGGCCGGGCGTTGATTTAGAAACTTTCCAACAAGCGTCGAGCATGGAATAGGATCCTATCATGATAGGACTGAACTAAAACGGGTTCAAAGCTATATTTCCTGGTAAGCAGGCGTGTGCAGGGAGATAAGCATGTGTCGAAGTGTTGTAAAACTTCAGAGGGATGTATGTTTCTGGGTAGCCGGTGGTTACAGCCGAGGTTGAAATAATGTTCTATGAAGAGATCGCCCAGAATTCGTGTGTCGCCAATAACAATGTGACCGAAGGGCGCATAAACAAAAGTGTTAGAGCAGTTACAATGGACAGAGGAAGACTGCAGCAGAGTGGGGGCTCTATCGAGTTCACGAAGTAAGGAAATATGATTACAAAGTAGGCAGCCCAGAGGAAGATCGTATTTGAAGGTTACGACGAAACGGGGAATCGAGACGCCGTAGCGTAAGAGACGAGAAGCGCGATTGTGAACGAGCCTGCTGTAGTTCAGACTGTCATATGCAGGACCTGGGTAAGGCATCACACTATAAAATACCATCGCAGGGCGACGACCCAATGGTGCAGGTGGTCGCCTAGTGTTAAGAAAGGAGCAAAGAATGTACCAAAAGAGAGCGCCATGAAGATTAGATTTACTTAGTCCTCCGAGTGTAAGCAGGACAGTGCGATTACTTTGACCATGAAGAAGGCGCATAAAGGCTTGTAGGTTCGGAGCACTATCTAAAGGTAAATGTAGTGCAGTATCAAGGAAGACTTGGTTGACGGTGATGGAACGACGACGTCTCCGACCGTGTGAATGTTGAAGACGACGGAGACGAACATGAAAATAAGGGATGATGTTGCGGCTGTGAAATGCGTCCTGTGTAACAACTCCGAAACCCTTACCATGATCGTTGAGTCCGAGGGGATAAATGGTCTGCAGCAAATAAGTCCAGTAAAATTCAGCATCTGTAAGCCGACGAACATCATCTACGATCTCAAGAACTTGGATGGACATGTCACGATCAGAATGTTCGGCACTGTGGAAGTGTGTATAGAGTACGCTGTTAGAGGAATATCGGTTGATACAGCGATTATGCTCGCGGGCCCTAACCGACAATGCTCGTTTTGTTTGGCCAACGTATTGTAGGCCGCAGCGTGTGCAGGTAATGCAATAAACGACACAGCGTGTTAGGCAAGTAGAAGCTTGGCGCGGTATGGAGTAGGAAGCTGCGAAGTACTTGTCAGAGATAAAGCTGCGGATACTAGGTGCATGAGAAAGCATGCGACAACACCCGCAATTTTGCCCACAAGAAACAGTGGCTGGAAGAAGGTTGTTTTGATGGAAGGAAAGGTCATAGGTACCGTTCACATAGGTCACACAATAAAGGGGTAAAATAGCGCGCAGGGCTGCGCCTTAGCCAATGGGCGCGCAGGGGACGCAGGCGCATGCTCATCCCCTAACGGCCAACCACCTGTAGCCATAAGGCTCGAACCAGACGCCGGTAGTCGCCCATCTGATCGGCCTATTGTATCGATTGCGGTACGTGAACCCATGAAGTTAAAATTCTGGCTTCATGGTGAGTAGCGTTTATTTGCCTAAGGTGATTCCTGTAAGCAGTTAATGACGCTCAACACATACACCACCGAATCTCAGAGTGGCTAAAGCGCCCCCAAAGTGCTCCTGTTAAAGGAACCATTCAGCTAACAACCTCCTCAGGAAACAGAACGAGTTTTAGGATCGTCAGCAGGCTAACTATCAGTTAATGCTGCATTGTCGAAGTTACTGGAAAAGTTGTCAGCTGCACAACTGTAGTAAGAAAAAACAGCAACAGATGAAGAATTTTCGGAGGCCCTCTCTGCGATACGCTGTAATGGCTGACATTCAATAGTGT